AGTGCCTCGGACGTACTGGTGGTTTCAATTAGGCCTGTCTCTTATACACATCTAGATGTGTATAAGAGACAGGTGTGTGTGTGTGTGTGTGTGTGTGTTGTAGTATTTCTCACGGCGTACTCGCGATGTACATCATTCCATATGGTATACCAGGCCCTGGTCATATCCAAGCTAACGCTTTCTGCTGCCACTCTACTTCTCTGAAGCTACCTCATACATCTGTGGCTTACCATGACCAGCTTTCCAGCGTCCTACATAGGATGGAGGGCATAGAAAAAAAGAAAAAGGTCCCCAAAAGATGCCAAGAGAAAAATAAAAAATAAAAAAGATGCCAAGACCAGGAGATAAACAATAGTCTGGAGGGGACGGGGGAGGACGACATACAAGCACACCAAACAGGCAAACCAGCAAAAAATAAAAGTCCCCCAAAAAATGCGAAGACCGAAAAAAAACAAAAGCTGAGTTTCATCGGACTTGCACCAACTCATCAGGAGGTTGAATCCTCGACAATCTGCGGAGATCTCCGTATTTGGGATGGTTTGGGTCATGCACCCTTTGACCCTTGTTGAAGGCAGACTGTCCCCAGACGAGGCAGTCCACACATTTAACACAGAGCAAAGCGGCACATGACCTACTCACATCACATGTGAACCCCACAGACCGTTGGTTCCCACCACCCACTGAGCCAGGGAGTCACTGCAATGAACATCCATCATCACCCGTAGGGCAGACAGAGATCCCGAACTGAGTGGCCCCCCCAAACGAGGAATGACCGACTGTTGGCACTGCTTAAGGGTGTTCATCTCGGCACACAAAAAATAGGAAAAAATAATAAAAATTGGAAGAAAGCATACAAAACGAGAGACAAACATATATAAAAAGGATTGTGTGTGTGTGTGTGTGTGTGTGTGTGTGTGCATGTGTGTGTGTGCATGTGTGCATGTGTGCGTGTGTGTGTGTGTGTGTGTGTGTGTGTGTGTTATTTMCCCCCCCCMCCCCGCCGTAAAACAGGGCCTTCTGGTCCTGGTTCCGTTCTACTCTAGGGAGCAACAGTCCGGTTCCCTTTCCCCCAGCAAGTCAGAGATGACCAATGGACAGACCAAACAAGCTCGCTCTGATTTCAGCCAGAGGCATCAATTGCTCCCAGTTGTTCCCCTCATCTGGCAACCGGCTGCCTGATACTCCCTGAAAAAACAAGCAAGTTGCGGGATCATTATGCCTATGCTCCCTAATGCGCTGTGGTTCGTTCTAGTCACACATGAGAGTTTTGCACTGCAATTCTGCACTCTTGAGTTGTGCCAGTCTTTCCACTTAGACTTGAAGGCAGCTGTTTTGTTGCCACTTCGCCATTTATAAGCCATAGGCGCTGGGAGTTGTACTTGATTCTCTCTTCCTCCTCATTTCTGTGTTGAGGAAGCATCTCTATTCACTGCCAGTTGCTCTACATCTCTGCTTAGGTGAGGGACTTGTCTGATGCCTAGACTTTCTCCCTTGAGTTTCTTGTCTCACCGAATGTAATGCTGCACCCTCCTCTTTTTCTCTATAGCACATGCACGCGCTTGACATTCGCCATCCAAGAGTCGTAGATGATGCTGGGGACTAGAGCTCGTCTGGGATTGATCATACCGATATTTGTGGAAATGCTACAGAAGGAGAAGGTAACCATTGAGCAAAGCTTGGGAAGAAGAAGGTGAAGGAAGCTTAACTAATGGCTGGCAGCCATAGCTACTTGGAGAAGGACTCCAATAGGAGGACGGAGAGCGGGGCATTCATTTTTGAAATCTTCATTTCGTTTGCAGGGTGTTATAGAGAGAGTGTGTCGCATCACTAGTGTTACCGAGGTCCGGGAATGAGAAACTGCGTGTACATTAATTTTTGTCTTTTGTCCGTAGTGTATTTCATGGAATATAGCCTAGCAAGTTGCCCATGTTTCCATCTTCAATGATGATCAGGTACGTCGTACTTCGTGATCATAAAACATCGAAACTTGGAATCTTGCTGAAATACCCCAAAAAAACACACTTTGTGGCTCCCACGCATACGTAGAAAAGACGAAATTAAATGTACACAAAGTCGAAGGAGAAGGTCACCATCTCTTTGAGGAGGCAATGTGGTCGTGATTGAGGACGGAGACCCCAGTCTGCTTCAGAAGAGATACAGGACGGCAAGCAGAACTCAATGCACGAGGCTTTCCTTTCACGGTGAACGCATCGAGTACATGGCATGCGACACAAGTAACGCGATCATCCTTCTGCCTCCTGCTCAGAAGAAAGAAAGACATTGTCATTTGACTCATTTCCAGTTCCAGCATTACCAATGCTGTAGAGAGAGTGACTCAGGAAGTGACATTGTGACAAGCCAGTGCATACATTTGGGCAGTGAGAAGGAATCCCATGGGAAGAAGAAGCAGTCTGAGCATTGTACTCATTGTTTATATTTTGGAGACATTTTCATGCTCCTGCTCGTCTTCTCCGCACCGTCTTATTCTCCGTTCTCTCAAGCTGTTTGTTAGCATTGCCGTTCAGCCTTGTGAGTTCATATGAGATTTAATCGTGCGCTTCTGAAGCTGGGTTCATTAGACAGTTCTTCCATTTGATAGACAGGTACCCACACAGATGTGAGTAGTGGGAGGGGGAAGGGGGTGGGGGGGAGGCTGCTTGTCAAGTCATCTCAACAAAGTGCCTGGAATATTCCCAGTAGACCCACCTCCTTCGTATTAGATAGGAAAATGATTAATGAAACAGACAACAAGGGAGGGGATAATGGGCTCTTATAGCAATGCCATTTGAGTCGATGGCTAACGGAGGGGATCTGCCATCACACGTGTAACTTTTAAGTCTTGAGTCATTTTCCCTCACTGAACCTCATGCTTTATGTTTGTTTGTTTTTTAACACGTAAAACAAAATTGGACGGACCATTTCTCGATTGATGTGTGTCGTCCTTGAGCAGGGGCCATGCTAATCTTCTCTGCATCGCTCCAATTTCAACGGATGTCCCAAAGGACACCGCAGGCTCTATGTTCATATATGGACATCTGGCATATCATTCACAATTATGACAACAAATGTTTGCTTCCTTGTGTTGTATGTTGTCTCCAGCTGTTGGCAACAAACCCAAATGAGAGATTGGGTTGTGGTGCCCGAGGTGTGGATGCAATCAAGAAGCATCCATGGTTTGGAGATGTTGACTGGAAGGCAACGATGTCGAACAGGACAGAGGCACCAGCTCTAGTCCAGGAGAAAATAGCGGCACTCGGCAAGCGCAATCTCACAGAGCCTCTGGCATTGCCATCGAAAAGCCAAGCTGGTCCAAGCAGCAGCAGCGGCAGCACATCAGACGCGAAGACTGGGTTTGAAAACTGGTGAACCCCCTTGGAAGCTGACCACCAAACAGGCTGATTACACGCCAAACATTGAGATGATTTGGCACTGTTCCCTCCTCAGCGCACCGAGCAGCTGCTTCGTCCGTCCGTCTCAAGCATATTGTGACGTGTGCAACTGCACAATGATGCCATTAGTTCTTTTCTCCTCTCTCTCTCTCTCTCTCTCTCTCTCTCTCTCTCTCTC